AAAAAGAGACATCACGTTTCAGGAGGTGAAGAAGTTCTTGCACAATCTAAAAGAGGAGATACACGCTGTAAAAAGAATCAAATGGAATTGTTAGAGATGAAGGCTGTAACACAGGAAACCAAAACCCCCCTTGAAAATATCAGAAATGGATTAGATCATGCAGAAGATTGAATCTCACATCTAGAAAAGGCAGAACCTCTGGTCTAGAAAAAATTCACCAAAAAGAATGAGAAAATCACCCCAATAAATGAGAATAACATACAAGTAATAATGGATACGATTAAATGCCCAAACATCCAGATCATCAGTATCTCAGAAGATGAAAAAACTTATAAGGGCATTGATAATCTATTCCATGAAATCCTGGAAGAAAACTTTCCAAACCTAGAAAGGCACTCAAATATCCAGACCCAAGAAATAGAATTGACTCACATAGAATTGACCCAAAAAGATTCTCCCTAAGGCACATTATAGTTAGATTGATCAAAACCACAGAGACAAGAAACTAAAATTGGCAAAGGAGAAACACTGAGTTACTTTCAAAGGATATCCCGTAAGGCTAACATCAGACCTCTCATCGGAAACAATGCAAGCAAGGAAAGAATGGGAAAATGTATTCAAAGTGTTAAGTGAAAAATAATTTGGGGAACCAGCAGTTAGCGTAATGGTTATGTCGCTGGGCTCCCACATAGTCGACCGCGGTTCGCGTCCCGAACCCGGTGGCTTAAAACTCACGCCGAGCACATGTGCATGCATGCCCAAAATCCCGAGAGGAGAATGGAGGAGAAGGGATTGCGGCATGACCATCCCCCCTGGGGAGTGATTTCTCGCTTTCTGTCTCTATGTCTCTCTCTGGCTGGCTGGCGAGCACACGTGCCCTATAGAGAAAATCTCTCAAAAAAAAAAAAAAAGAAAGAAAAAGAATTTTAACCAAGAATACTACACCTAGCAAGATTATCTTTCATATGGGGAAAAAAAAAGAAACATTCTCAGATAAACAAAATCTGAAAGAATTTACACCATACCAGCTTTCCAAGAAGTGCTGAAGGGAGTGCTACCCCATAAAAACTAAAGTCAGACACATAGAAATAAGAGTATAAGAAACAAGCAAGAGAATGGTCAACCTAATGGTAGGGACAAGTCCAGAGTTGAACGTTAACTTCCAGAGTTTAAATGGAAAAGATCAGACCACAGTAACACTGCAAATTCAATAGAAGAAAGATTAATTACATGAGTCTGGACTAGAGAAATAGAATCTTTTTTTTTTACTTTAGACTAAAACATTACTGATTTTCTGCCCTGCTTTGATTTCCATAGTTAGGGATTTTTGTCTTCTCTTGAACTATTGATAGATTCATCTATCTACTATTTGAGCTGAATCCTAACCTTTTTCCTGGCTTTAAGTTTTAAGCAAATTTCTCTTAATGTCTTTTTTTATTTTGGTTTATTAAAACTAAACTCTTTTTGACATGAAAAACTGCATTTAAAAAGTACCTATTAATACCTATTTAATGGCTGCAGTAAGCTATTTAGCCCCAGTGAGATGCCATTTTATAGTACGTTCACTTTACTCACTGAGGTTTGTGCCTAGAGTCATTCATTCATTCATAAATATTTATATATCAGCTATGCTTGCTATCGAAAGTTTTTAAATTAATTAAGATCTTTAGTGAATCGATAAAATGCAAATGTATATACCAGAGACAGTGTGGGAGAAGGGGGGGAGTTGACAGAGGGTAAGAGGTAGGGAATTGGGGGGGAAGCAAAATATGCAAGAAATAAGAAATAGAAAATTTTTTGTTGATGATAACATGTATGGTAATATCCTTGATTGAGCCAATATACAATGTATACTGGATGGAAATCTCATTTTGTATACTGTATTAGTGTACAGTGAATGACTGTAAATAAATAAATAGATAAAGAAATAAAACAAAGAATTATCTGTTCAACTTTATTTATTTTTATTACTTTTTTTTTTTTTTTGACCAGATAGAGAGAGAGAGAATGACAGAGAAAGCTACCAGGCCTAGGACTTAAACCACATCGGCCATGTGAGAGTCCACACCTTAACCACCATGCCACCTGCCAGTCCCAGGTTTGTTTGTTTTGTTTTTTTTTAAATTACACCAACAATTCCATTTTAATACAAGGAGCATTCAAAAAGTATGTGGAAAATGCATATGGTGAATGAAACTACACATGAATTTCAAATTTTGCTTCAAAATAAACTCATACTTTAATTCCATTTTCTCACAAACTTTTTGAAGCCCCCTTGTAAATTGTAAATGTTCATTAGGCTTTTACTTCTTCAGAACTCCTTCAGAGCACTGAAATTCTCTTTCCTAAATGCTTTTCAAATTTTCAATTTTTTTTTTTTAAATAGCCCCTACCCCAACACATTCTTGCCTTTCACAGTGAAAAAATGAATCTCATCTCTCTCTGCTATGGAAATCCAGTTTCAACTGCCTGGTAACTCAAAGGTCTGGTAAACAAAGCAAGACAGAAAAAGAATCAAACCTATTTTCTAGGGGTGCTCAATTGATCCCTGAATTATTTTTATTTAACATGGCACCCACAAAACTATCTTTGACCAAGATTCTCCTCTTCATTTCTCAGGAGAGGAAACATAAAGTACGGTCCAGGAAATCAATATGGACGAGAAAGCAGGACCTTTGATAGTCACTCAGCGGAATCAAGAGCACTCAGGAGGGACCAGCAGTTAGCGTAATGGCTATGTCACTGGACTGCCACGTAGTTGACCGCAGTTCGAGTCCCAGACCCCGTGGCTTAAACTCACGCCGGGCGCGTGTTCGTGCGTGCGTGCCCAAGATCCCAAGAGGAGAATGGAGAAGGGATTGCCGCGTGGCCATCCCCCCTGGGGGGTGATTTCTCGCTTTCTATCTCTCTGTCTCTCTCTGTCTGTCTGGCGCATGCACGCGCCCTATAGCAAAAAAACTCTCAAAAAAAAAAAAAAAGAGCACTCAGGAGTCGTTTATCTAAAACATCAGCAAACCCAGTCTCTTATTGAGGAGTTGATCATGGCCTGGGCCTCAGATCTGGACTTACTGTCATATCTCCTTGGAACCTTTGAAAAAATAAGGATTTCTAAGTTTTACACTTGAAAGTTTTTGTTCAGGGGATCTTTTTATAAAGATAAAAAGTCTAGTTTATGGTCAGAGTGAGTGTGCTATCAAATGATGTTCATGACACAGAAAGTAAAATAAAGTGAATGCAGAAACATAGATACGTAGCGACTTTTTAATTTTTTTTCTTTTTTTTAAGAATGATTTTGCCATGCCCACCCTGCACTCTCTTTACCTCTGCTCTCCTCCGCTCATTCTCTCGCTCTCTCATGCCCTGCTCTGGCCATCTCCCCCAGCGAGCGGCCCAGCCTGTGGAAAAGGGTGGCAGGCAGCTGCGCTTTGCCCAGCTGTCGCAGGAGGCCACAGCCCCAACCCCAGACTCTGCGCTAGCGGTGGGCTGTGACCTGCACAGTGCCTGCAATTACACCGCACCCCCTATGGAGAAAGCCCTTAAGAAGACAGACTCAGCTCTTCCTTCTGGGAGTTACGGAAGAGGAGCTCCACGTTCTGGCTTGACTACAAAACACTTCATAGATGTAGGAGCTGGTGTCATAGATGAAGATTATAGAAGAAACATTGTTGTTGTACTGTTTAATTTTGGCAAAGAAAACTTTGAAGTTTAAAAAGGTGACCGAGGGGCCAGCAGGTGGCATAGTGGTTCAGGCACTGGACTCCCATGTGGCTGACCGCGATTCAAGTCCTGGTCTTGATGACTTGCTTCCTCATTCTCTCTCTCTTGCTCTATGGTCAAACTGAAAAAATAATAATGATGATGAATAAAATAAAATATTTAAAATAAAAGGTGACCAAAATTGCATAGCTCATTTGTGAACGAATTTTTTACCCAGAAACAAAATTTCAAGGTTTGGGTGACAATGAATGGGGTCCAGGATGTTTGGGGTCCACTGGAAAGAATTAAAATTCATGCCATGAATAAAAGATGAAAAATGTAATTTTTTTTTTCTTAAAGGGTTTTGCTTAAATTGTTTCATATTTCTAGAAACTTAATAGCTTTAACTTTGAAAAACATTTTGTTTTCCTAAGAGTAAGGACAGGGTACCTTTGGGATCAGATAAAAACTTTCTCATGTTTTTCTACTATTGATAGTTACATAAAAATCTGCTTTGTGGTGAACTAATGCAAAGTGTCTCTTTTTTTTTTTTTTAATTAAAAGACATCAAGTGCCGATACAAAAAATGGTATTAATTAATTCAGTAAATGTCTTTTACTTTAAAAATCATGAACAGTGCTTTTTATTCAATAAATTTAAGTTATTTGGCAAACAAGAATTGTTGTACAAGCTGAAATAAATAAAAAGACATTAAAGTTTTTTTAAAAAGAATTATTTGATTTTATTTATTTATTTATTTATCTTAATTTGACCAGAGAGGGACAAAGAGAGAGGGAAAGTGAGAAAGCAAACCATCAGGTCCATGACTCAATCCTCAGTTGGCCATGTGGGAGTTCAATGCCTTTAACCACTACGCCACCTGCCGGCCCCATTTTTTTTTCTTTTTTTTAAAACTCCACATCACCAAATAATTATTTCAAATCAGAATTAAAAGAACATTTGACAGGGCCAGCAGATGGCATGATGATTAAGGTGCTGGACTCTCACATGGTCGACTATGGTTCAAGTCCTGGAGCTGGCGGCTTGATAATCATCCTGGGTGCATGTGTGTCCATGCCAAAATCCCAAGAAGAGAATGGAGGGTAAAGGACTGTGGCATGGCCATCCCACTGGAGGGTGATTTTTCACTTTCCCTTCTCTCTCTGTCTCTCTCCAGCAAGTGCACACGCCCTATTGCAACAACCTAACCATAACACCAAAAAAAAAAAATTGACAATTGTGACGTGTATGTTTTGTACAAACTGACTCATGACAAATTACTGGATTAATTTTACTTTACTTCTTCAGGACTGGAGTTTATTGATGACTTCAAATTTGGGACCTTTAAATGTGAAAGTAGGGAATGTATTCATGTCTGCTTTTCCATAGATTTGCTTAAGCTTAAAGAGCTCCCTTTGGGGACCAGCAGATGGTGTAATGGCTACATCACTGGACTCCCATGTAGTCAGCCGTGGTTTGAGTTCTGGACCCGTGGCTTAAACTCAGGCCAGGTGCATGTGCGTGCATGCCCAAGATCCTGAGGAGAATGGAGAATGGATTGTGGCGTGGCCATCCTTCCCGGCGGGGGTGGGGGAACTATTTCTAGCTTTCTGTCTCTCTGCCTCTCTGTGTCTTTCTGGCAAGCACAGGCACCCTCTAGCAAAAAAACTCTCAGAAAAAAAAAAAAAAGAGCTCCCTCTGGGGGCCAGCAGGGTTAACGCGCTGGACACTCCCACGTGGCCAACCACAGTTCGAGTCTCAGACTGGTGGCTTGCTTTCTCACTTTCTTTCTCTCTATGTGTCTGTCATTCTCTGATCAAATGAAAATATATGAATAAATAAATAAAATAAAATATAAATAAATAAACAAGCATCTAAAAATAAATAAATAAAACTTCTCCAGATATTGCTGATGTTCTGGGCCAATATCAACAGGTCCTCCAGATGTCTGCCATTTAGATTTGTATTCTCTGATCTCATCCACAAAATATTTCTGTTCAGGATTAAGCTCCATATTAAATGCCATTGCTGTAACACCAGTGTTTCTCCACAAATGGACTGAGGGTGCTGACCGAGTTATGGCGACCCTGAAGAGCCTCTGTAGAATCATGATGATTCTTTGTTACTTGTACTCTGTCCTAAGCTGCCAGAGCCATCGCCACTGCCACCATTCTCACTGTTTAAATTAAAATGAATAAATAAAATAATATGGCATAATATCTAAATTGCACCATTTTATGTTATTAGATGTTTTGATGTGCATTGAAAACAGCCTGAAAGAAGACCTCAATACTATTCACATTAACGACTTCTGGGAGTGGATGGGATAGATTAAGAGAAAATTTTGACTGCTACTCTATGTATGGTGAAATATTTTTTGGCTTTTAATGTGTTGATGTGGTACTTTTCTCATTTTAAGAAAAGTAACATAAATGCAGGAAGAATAATGATGGGAGGATGTTAATGCCCATGCCACATGTGTTTCTTCAAAAGCAGAACAAAGAGGTAACGGTAACAGTCACTTTAGAATGATAGTTGTTGTGACTGAAGACTAAAACAAGAAGAAAGACAAGGTCATTAGGCCATGTACGAGCGTATTTAGAATAGCCCATACCAGGAGACAGAGCAATCTTCATCTATATTTTGAATGGAAAAATAAATATTAGTTACCTTTAGATGATGGTATTTACTGGGAACAGACTTCATGTTACCTTCTGGGCTGTTGTAAAATAGTATATGATTTCATGTGGATTGTGGTTGAAGTGTGTTTTCATATGTTAATATTGATGGAGCACTTAAGGTTGGTGCATTTATTGGGTATATGATGTAAAAATTAAAAAGAAAAGCAAAAAAAGGTGGTCATGTATTTATTGTGGAAAGCATATTCTGGACTCTGCAGCGTTCCTTAGTAAACTCCAGAGCCCTCCAGTTCGTAGTCGAGAGGGCATGAGAAGAACAGCAACAGTGGCCACATCCAGGCTATCTCTAGGTTGTGCAGCTACAGCTCAGACCTCCCTAGACAGTCTGGAGTCTGGTCATTCTTTCCCTTACACCCAGCTTCACACTCCTGCCCCCTGGTGGTCAAGAGGAGAACAGCAGGGAAAACTTGAAACAGGGCTGGCCCGATTACAGAAAATAAAGGCTTTGAAGGACCCCAACCACCACAGTAGACAGTGTAGGACCAAGACAGATAGAGTAGGACCAAACTCCAGAGTAATCTCAACCCCCTCCCAACTTTCTCTACTCTAAACCTGATACCACTCCTCTCATCAACTTCAAAGTGGAAAGTGAGGGAACCAGCAGTTAGCGTAATGGCTATGTCGCTGGACTCCCACGGAGTCGACCACGGTTCGTGTCCCGGACCCGGTGGCTTAAAACTCATGCCGGGCGCGTGTGCGTGCGTGCCCAAGATCCCGAGAGGAGAATGGAGGAGAAGGGATTGTGGCGTGACCATCCCCCCTGGGGGGTGATCTCTCGCTTTCTGTCTCTATGTCTCTCTCTGTCTGTCTGGCGAGCGCATGCGCCTTACAGTGAAAATCTCTCAAAAAAAAAAAAAAAAGTGGAAAGTGAAAACAAGAAATAAGGGAGGTAAACCCCTTTGAAGCTTCCACTTTATGGTTGCTCTGGCTCCAGCAGTTGAAGGTCACAGTCTCCTGTGAATGGAACAGGAGAGTCTACACAGGCCAGAAATCCCAGCATTTGTTTCTCCTGTCTCCCAGTCTTTTCAGTTTTGAAAAGATGTACTCTTTTCTGTTTCTCAGCTGGTCATCTTCTTTTGGTTTCTTTCTAGAATGCCTCCTCCAGGACTATGTGAATAAAGAAAGAAGTATATGAGAATAGAAATACTAGAGTAGCTCCTAAAGATCACCAGAATATTGCCCCAGTAACTGCTTTAATGAAATAAATTGTTGAGGGAACCAGCAGGTGGTGGGGTGGTTAAGGCACTGGACACTCCCACATGACTGACCATGGTTCGCATCCCGAACCTGGTGGCTTATTTTCTCGCTTTCTCGCTCTCTCGCTCTCTCTCTCTCTCTGTCTGTCTTTCTCTGGTCAAATTAAAATAAATGAATAAATAAAATTAAATAATTCTTTTTAAAAAATAATTTAAAAATAAATAAATAAACTGTTGGACAATTAATTTGAAAAGTATGGCTCTGCCATCCTTAGATAGTATAATTAAATAATTTAGTCATTTGCAAGAGAAATGATAGCAGTAAATCCTTGGGGATGGGGACTAGAAATGAGGCCACCCATCCTGCTTTGTTCCAAAGTGAGTGTCATGGAGTGACACTTGGAGGGTCATGTCCAAAGGAGTCATAACTTCACTCTGGGAGTAACTCTGGCATCCTAATCAGAATACTTTTAAGCTTTTAAAGGTGTGGCATCCAAGAACAAGCCGAGGGACTAAAAGTGAGCTATGACCAAGTATAGGAGCATTCACTACCCTCCTTTTTTTATTCTAAAATTCATGATAGAACACATAGCACATATGAAAGAGGGGGAGAAATGGATCCTCTTCAGGGATCAGTCTTGCCACAATCTCCTTCCTCCAGTCCTCCAGCCCACTAAGATCCTGGGCACATCTGCTAGCACTGTATGTCTTCAGGCCAACCAGTCAGGGGACTTGAACTGCAGTCTGCATGTGGCTTCCAGCCCTGCGGTCTGTACACTATCACCTGTGCCACAGAGGCAGGGTCCCCCCTGTCTTCCCAACCATTGCCTCTTCAGCCTAAGTGAACATTAACCTTCAGACATTCTAGGTACTTTTTCATTAACTTCCCCCTTCTCAGATTTGCTCTCCACAATCATTTTCTCAAAAATACCACCTTGTATTTATAGTCTTTGTGTTCTTAATCCTGGACTTGCTTTTTATCTCTCAAGGAACAACCTTTGCAGAATCATGTTGTCCCTTACCTGGGCCTTCCCAACCACCACAGTAGATAGTGAAGAACCAAACTCCAGTTGCTGACCAGCTGGGTAGCTGTGGGCAAGTTATGTAACCTCTGTAAGCCTCAGTTACCTCTTCCTTTATTTATTATTTTTATTTTGGCAAAGAGTATGTGCACCCCCATAGAGAGAGAGACAGAGAGAGGAAGAGGGAGAAGACATCCCTTATGGGGAACAGTCACAGTGTAATCTCTTATCCTGTCTTTCTCCATCCTGTCAAGATTTTGGACACACCCATATTTGTGCCTGGTTTGTTTCATAAGCAATGTCGCAGTTGGCCTTGTGGGATCCTTCTACCTTAACCACCAGGCTGCAGAGCTGACCCATAATTCTTTTTCTTATCCTAATTTTTAGGTTTTGCTGTTGGGCAGGAGCGCTCCCCTGAGAGAGACAGAGAAAGGGAAAGTGAGAAATCACCCCCCAGGGGGAGATGTCCACACCACAATCTCTTTCCTGCCATTCTCCTCTCAGGATTTTGGGCATGCATACGTGTCGAGCATGATTTTTAAGCCATCAGGTCTGGAACTCATACTGAAATCCATGCTGGCTCCCTTATCTTAATTTTTAAAAAAAAAGAGTTGGGTTGGGCCAGCAGGTGATATGGTGGTTAAGGCAACTGGATTTCCACATGACTGACTGCAGTTTGAATCCCAGACCCTGTGGCTTGAAACACGCTGGGCATATGTGCGTGCATGCCCAAAATTTTGAGAGAAGAATGGAGAAGGGATAGCACTGTGGCCATCCCCCCCCAAGGGAGGGGGTCATTTCTCACTTTCCCTCTCTGTGTCTCTCTCTGTGTCTCTCCTCTCTAGAGAGCACAGGCACCCTATAGCAAAAAACTAAAAAAATTTTTTAAAAATAAATAAAAAGTTGGGCCAATTCCGTGGCTTGGTAGTTAATGCAGCTGGATCCCACATAGCCAACTGCATAGTTGGAATCCCAGACCTGGTGGCTTAAGGAACATGTGGGTCGTGTGTATGCATGCATGCCCCAATCCTGAGAAGTTGGAGAGATAGAGGAGAAGGGTTTGCCGTGTGACCATTCTCCATGGGGTCTGCATTTATTTTTCTCCCTCTGTCTCTCTGTCTCTCACTGATAAAAGCATGCACCCTCTAGCAAAAACATATATAAATAAAATATTAAGATTTATGTTGATTTATTTTAAGACCATTTAAGTTTTGTTTTTTGTTTTTTGTTTTTTGGTTTTTTTTTGGAGAGGTTTTCGCTATAGGGCGTGTGAGCTCGCCAGACAGACAGAGAAAGACAGAGAGACAGAAAACAAGAAATCACCCCCCAGGGGGGGATGGCCACGCTGCAATCCCTTCTCCTCCATTCTCCTCTCGGGATCTTGGGCACGCACACACATGTGCTTGGCGTGAGTTTAAGCCACAAGGTCCGGGACTCGACCGCTGTCAACTACATGGGAGTCCAGCGACATAGCCATTACGCTAACTGCTGGACCCAGACCATTTAAGATTTTATATGAACACATTGAGTCTTTGCACCTACCCTAGTAAGTCTTAGTATCAATCCTGTTTTATAAATGAGAGGATAAATGGCCTGCTCAGGGTCACACAGCTATCACGCAGCAGACGTGAGTTCTAAGCAGGGAGACGGCTCCTGAGTACAGATGCTTTATCACTCTGCGCTCCGGCGTCACATACTTAGTACTAGCTATCATTGCTAATGCTTGGGACTGGAGGACAGTGATCAGAAGTGTAACTGACATGCCCCTCCAACAGTGGGTCTGTGTTACATAGAAAGGAAACAGAGGCTAGTCCTCCGTGAAAGGGAAGAAAATGATCATTATGGGAGCATTTACTTCACTGATTCCTTCATTTCACAAATATCTGAGGGTTAAGAGAGAAATAGGTAATTATGGATGAAACAAAATGTCATGGCTTTTTCTCTGTACCTTTTCATATGCTCGTCCCTTTGCCTAAAATGTCAAAACACACACACACCCCTCTCACTTTTTCACCTCTCTCTGATAGAAGGCAATTTCCTGGGTTTTTATTTTTTGCACACATCTCGGATTCCCGTTTAACTGGAGAGAAATTTTTAAAAATTAAGATAACATAAAAAAGGAGAAAGCGGACCAGCAGGTGGCATGGAGGTTAAGGAGGTTGGATCCCATGTGGCCAATTGCGCAGTTCAATT